TCGCAATGTGGAAAGCGTCGCCTGGGGCCGCGGGTCTGTTGCTAGGTAGATTATGTTAATATATGCAAGGCAGCCATCTCTGCAGCTACCATTCAGAGGGAAGACCCACTTCAACCTTTTCCTAAAAATGCTGAAAACTCTCGGGAAATCCACACCCGAAGCTTAAGCGCGGATTGAGACTCGTATCTCAGTAAGTGTCACGTAAAATTCACAGGCTGTTTTCCGTTGGACGGTCGATTAGAGTGTAGATATATTTTGTTGAGTGTCTTCGCCGTGCTTTGTTGTTGTCTTAGTCCCACCCAAAATGGAGTCGTGTCGCGTCGCGTCTTCCTCATTCTGCCGCAGACTCTCGCCAAGCGCCCCTCTCCTGCATTTGAAAACCTCCATGAGACTAGTGTGCTCGAATCAAACGACACCGTAGGGCCGTTCCAGATCGAACAGGCCCTCTGCTCTCATCCCTCTGTCGTTGCCGACCACCAGCGCGGGTTTATGTGTGATAAAGCTGCTGTAGAAGTGTTTTTGTGCTGCTCCGCTGCGGGTTTTGTGGTATAGTCCGATTGGAACTCCCAACCTGCGGGCTTGAGACAGGGGGAGAGCGCCTCACAAACAGCCCGATCGCTTCATTCGCTATTACAGCCTTTATAATCTCTTCATTAGTCTCAGGGTTTGAAGAAGGCTGGGGTGATAGGCGTCTGCGTGTGTTTTTTCTGTCAGCGCGGCGGTTGGGGATTTTCTGTCCGGCCGTGTGTCCCCTCTAAGTTACCCCCGTGCAGTGATTAGACTGACCGCTCCTCCAGTAACGTTACGCGCCTGTGTTTGGGTTAAACGGCGAGCTTTCAATAAATCGCAAATAATAACACAATGAACGGATGAAATGTGTCGAGCCTGAGCTTTCATCTGTTCCGTTCACATCCGCCACGCTGTCACAAAACGTATAATGTCATTTATACAGATTAGTCATGGTGTTTTTAAGTACATTGGAGTGCCATGTACATTTCATGGCATATTATCATTAGGGTATGACACCATCATTGTACCATGGTCAAGTACTTTTTGTAAGGGAATCATTCCATTAATTTGGAGTATAGAGTATTTCTTATACAAGATGACCACAGTCATGGAAAACCTGGAATTTCCAAATGTTTCCCTCAGACTGTAATTGAAGGTCAAGTCAGATTTATGTGTCTTAACGCTTGCCACAATACATGCTGTTGCTGGGCAGTAATATAGTTTACATGTTATAATAGCAGATGCAATCAAACAGTTGAGATTTGCTATATATTATGTATATACCCTATATGAATATGTGGATAAAGTTGGACATACTTGTATATCCAAATTTGTAAAAAGAGCTTTATATAAAGAAGCCACTCTGCCATTAAATTTGGCATGAAATGAAAATTCACCCCGTCTGTTTCCTAAATACATATCATAGATCTGTTTTTTTCCCCTCACACTGTTTAATCAAAATGTCATTATGAGATCCTCTGGTGAAAACACCAGGTGTCTCTGGTGACGTATGCAGGACTTCTCCAGTCATTTAGTCAAAAGGAAGGACACATCCTCGTAAGGCTATATATCTAGGCTGCCACATCGTAAAGCCTTGTAAAGTAGGCCTATACTTAGTAGGCAGTCTTCCTTTTGTGTCCTTCATTCAGCCTGCTTTGAAGGATGCATCAGGTGTCCTTCAATCACCCACAATCCTTTGCACACATTCCAATTCATGACAAATCAATGATCTGAAAACGAATCAACACTGAGCTTGTTCAGTTTTATAGTTATGCAAGACAAAAAACATGATTTTTGAGGTGAAGGCATTATATTATTATTATTATGCTAAATGGTGCATAATGTAAACCCCTGGGAGTCGACCACAGATGGATGTCGTTACCTGTACTGCATTAATAGAACAACAGTTTTTCTTCAAATTATTATAATAATTCTAATTGAATCTAATTCTAATCATTTACTAGATCATCTCATTCTAGCGTTTAATGCTGAGAAGGACTCCAGCCTTGAAGCCTCACTAGGATGCGTTCTTCAATTTAAGAAGCACCCTTAAACTCACCCCTTCAAATCTGCCTTCACTTTTGAGTGCCACATTTCACCTTCCAGTCAACAGAACCAAGTTCTAAATAGTTATATTTTTTGATAATCCATTACACTTGGATGTATGCCACAATAGGAAAGATAAGACCTATCAATGAAACTTTCTTAGGTCATGTGGTGAAAATGTTGCATACTACATTATACAGTGTTTATTTTGTGATGATTTCTAATCATTCACCATAGACTTTTAAAGTGACACGTTCCCCCCACTATTCAGAGTAGTGGTCAATTAATATGG